CATAGTTGTTTTAATTTGCATCTCTCTTAGGGCTAGGGATTTTGAGCATTTCTTCATGTGTTTGTTAGCCATCTGAATGTCGTCTTCGGTGAAGTGTCTGTTCATGTCTTGTGCCCATTTTTCTATTGGATTATTTACCTTTATCTTGTTGTGGTGCTCAAGTATAACTCTACTTTCTAAACTTGCAAAGCTGAAAGCCCAAAAGTGAGCCAAATATACTTTGGTCTGTCTTCTAAAGTGTTCTACACAGAGCTTTTTTTTTCCCCATCAAAGGTGTATTCTAGCTTATTAAAGGGCCCGCGCCGCAGAGTCAATATAAAAACACAAAAAGTCCCATCACATTAATAATAATAATAAACAAACCCAAAATGGAAAACTGAGGGGAAAGGGAAGAAGCCCCTGGGCCAGCGCACAGGGAGCCCTGCTCATGGCACCAGGCCTGGCTGCAGGACCCCAATACTGCTGTTGTTAGAGGTCGAAGGGCAGCAATTATCCTTGAGCCACCATTCACAGGGTTGGAGACTCACTTCTGGGGTATGCTCAGCTTCTGCATGCCCCGGATCTTGTCCAGCAGGCCAGAGATAAAGGCCTCTGTGGGTTTGTAACAGTCAACCAGCAGCTCCTCGACCCTGGCAGCCCGGGTATTGTTACTGTCCATGTCCAGGAGCTCGTCCACATCAATCTCCAGCTCTGGGATCGCCTCTTCCTGATAGTTGTAGAAACGTATGAGCTGCTCTAAGATCCACTCTTCCAGGTTGAGGTGCTTCCATAGCTCCTTATGGTCGTACTTGACGTGACCTTCCCCTGGCGCCTTACTGGGCTGCCTCATCTGCACCACCCGGTTGCTCGCCCGCAGCCCCAGGGGGACTTTGAAAGTAGGGCTGTGCTACCTACCCAAAGGCACATGGTTAGAATTCACCAGAAAACCTGCGGGTGGCACAGCTACATGTTGATTCTGAACTGGTATTACAGAATAATGTCCTATCTGAATAATTAATTAGAAGTCTCTTTTTAACACTGAGGTTTTTAATATCTAACCTAATAAGATTACCTTGGTGATTTATTCCTAACTCTACACACAAGTACACTTCACTTCTCACTTAGTGACACAGGTTCCAAAGACTAGGTGATTATGTGAAGACTGGCATTGCTAGAGAATTTTCATTTGTTTTCAGACCCTTTGTTCTCTTTTCTATAGAACTAATAACTGCTAAGCTTTACAGGTGTGCTCATAACCATGATGGGTCTAATTATGATTATTCTTCTACAGAGGTGGCTTAGAGGAGACTAAGCTGAATAAAGCCAGCTGTGTGACTGGAGGACACATGGTCTAACCACTCCACCTAATCTTCCCTCAAGACATCCAGGCTCCTACTTCCAACCCTGCAAGACCTTCATTCATGATCCCAGAGCCTGCTTGGCCCTCCAGGTCTGCTAAGTCACCAAGTTTGAAACCAGGGTCTTCTTGTAAGGTGCTGGGGCCTGCCTAAGCACCTAGTCCCACCAAAGCAGACACTTCAGGCTCAGCTTGGCTCACTCTAGGATGTCATGAAGCTTTCATGCATTTCTTCATAATATCCTTTCTACTGCTGTTTATTTGCTCCCTTTCTACCACATAGAAATTCTGGCTGTAGGACCTTTGCATGCACAGGAGCTGGGAATCCAGAATAGGCACCTGCTGATTCAGTGTTACCTGCCCACAAGCTACAGGCACAGAAGAACCCCACGTGCTGTTGGGACTCAACTGCATCCTGTCAGGAGGGCATGGATAGCCCAGGGGCAGCACACAGCCCAGCTATCCAAAGGCTATGGAGAGACCCTCCTGGAGAGGAGGGGATCTTTGGCAGTAACTGCCACTATACTTGCTGCTACCTTATAAAGTACAAAACAGATGGCATTTTTATGTGAAATTCTGGATAAAACAAAACAGTTGTTATATGAGCAGGTCTATTACATGCTTGAATAAAGAGTCTCTACAACTTCAAAGAACTTCCTGATATTTTAATGGTAAGAGAAAAATTTTTATTATAAAACTTATGACTATGAAACTCAGCACAGTCTAATGCTCTATATTTTTCAAATCATCAGATCTCTAAGTAGTAAGAATCATGGACTTTTCTTCTCAGGAAATGCAAACATATAAAAGTTGGTGAATACTTCTGGGACCACTCAAACACTGTCACTTACTTTTAAGTACTTTATTCATTGATGGTTCCAATGCTGCCTCTTTGAACTCCTGAGCAGTCTTCCCACGCCGAAAACCAATTCTTGTCTTGGTGGCATAGTCCTGATAGACATACAAGAACACAAACCATCCATACCAAGAAAAAATGTTACAAAAAAACAAAATGAGAATTTCTTTATACTAGAAAACTTCAGTTAAAGAAATGTGGTACTACATGTGTGATTTTACTATAAAGGTAAGAGAGACAATTTATCAAAGGTAGACTTCACCTGCTCCATCTTAGAACTGATTCACTGACTGATTACACATTTAACTCTTCATTTCCCAAGTTTTAAATTGTTTTGTTCATAACCTATAAAGCTCTGATGGCCTGGTGGTAAAAAATTGTGCTGAAATCCCAAGGCATGTGGTTTAAATCCACCAGATGCTCTGCAGGAGAAAGATGGGCAATTGCCTCCCATGTAATTAAAACGGCCTCTGAAAACCTGGTGTAGGGTCAGTGGTTCTGACTCAAAGGTACACAACAACAAAATTACTGTAGCATTTTATACTCTGAACAAATATCAAAATTAAAACTCCATTAATGATATTTAAAATCACTTCAGTATTATCTACATTTTGTCATTTAGGATATAGGCATAAAAATGGTCTTTAGTTTAGCTATTTCCTTACTGTAACGTGTAGCTCTCAATTAATCATCAATTGTTCTAAATTCTCGGACAGAAATCCCAAGAGCTAAAAATAAAATCACAAGAGCTCTTCCTTTACATATGAAATAAGGGGGGAAAAAGAAAATCTGTAAAATAACAGGGAGAAATAATTGAGTTTAGAAATTAAGAGTAATTCTTTTAATAAATCAGAGACATCCCAATGAATGGCCCCAAGAAACACAAAAGGGAGAAAAATCAGACAATATGAAACATTCCATAGAATCTTTACCCTGCTGTGTTTTAGATGCCATGCATTCTTTGTGATGGAATTCTTCAGAAGTGGGGAGGCTTTGGTGAAAGTTGGGCAGAAAGTCGTGGAAGGGATGATCCGGAGACACGCTAACCTTGTGGCCAGCATGGTGGAACAAGGTTTACCAAGCAGATCTCAGAAGCTGATTAGAAAATAAAAATTAAAAACAAACAAACAAACAAAAAACAACAAATTCCAACATTAATTTTGCTCGAGGGAAAGACACAAAGATATGAGAAGACACAGAGAAAACCCCAATTATCTTTCAAAAAAAAGGCTTCTAAAATTGTAAGGAATCTTCTACTTGTCCCTGTAATTCAAGAAACCCATTCCACAGAACCCAGTTTATGAAGCCACAAAAGGGGTTTAAATCCCTTGTCAGACCAATTAGGTAATACGTGACTCTGCATATATTATGTACATAAAACATTATAGACTATTACTACTTTGAGTTAGGATTTATCTCAGCATTAAATGGAAATACTCAACATTAAACAGATATACTCAACATAAGAATCTTCCTATTTTTTTAGAAAATGAAAAAAGCTAACCAGGGACAAAATGACTAATACTTCAAGGTCACAATGCATTACACCACCAAGATCAATTAAAAAAAACAACAGCAGAAATCAAACAGTACAAATTTTTGTTAAAAATGACAAATACCACTTCAAGATAAAACAGAAAATAAATGTTCATTATCTCATGTGCTGGTAAATTCCATCCAATACATAGTGATACTTTAGGACAAAGGGAAACTATCTCACTGGTTTTCCTGAGCTATTATCTTCACAGACACGGTCAGGCCTTTTCTGTTGTGTTTTTTTTTTGTTTTTTTCTAT